GCGCGCGGTGGTTGGTTGGTCGTTCAAAGCTTCTCTGAGTATATATCGTTTACTTCTTTATTGTTGCATGACCCTTCATCACATGGGCGATCATGGGACTCCACGACTACCTTCCCTTTTAACACTAAGCCACGTTTGACTCTTTACCATCATTCTTCGACCTTGCTCTACCATCCATTGATCAAAGCTTCTCTAAGTACATATCGTTTACTTCTTTATTGTTGCATGACCCTTCATAACATGTGTTTGTTCAGCGACGCGCTGTGGTAGGCAAGCGGATGCGAGGTGTTTTAGCTGGCCGACGCGCGGCAGTCGGTCAGCCGCGGTGTTTCGGTCTGCCGGCCGGCATTCTGTTGCTCTTCATCCGACGCGCGTATGGCTGACAGGGTGACGCGCTCCTAAAGACATAACATCCCATTAAGGTATGACACAAATAACTGCTTCAAATAATTGAAAAGAGTTGGAAAGATATTCAATTAATCCGTATCATTTTGTGGGAAGAAACAGCCTGTCTTTAGATAAAGAATTAAGGAATCATTTGATCAGCGTTTTTATTTAACCTCTAAAGCAAGATGATCCTATGTCCCGGGTAAGACGATAAACTACATCCAGCAGCAAGGCCTCTGCTCAGGAGGTTTTGAGGCTCGTGGAACCACCTCTTAATTGCTGGTGTTCCCAGGCCCATCCTGACCCTGGGTGGTACCACCTGTTAGGATGCCAACTGTGGGAAAAGAGTTAACCCCTATACTTTGGTGAAAATACTATGACAGCGTAAAAATAGGTTGTAATACAAGAAATACTTTGTAAACTATATTACCAGAATTAATTTATTTAAAAAAAATAAACATTACCAACTATACATTTTTGAAAAATATATTACCAGTTATACACAATTTTATTTTTATTTATTTATTTGAAAAAATACTACTGGGAATACATTTTTGGAAAAGAATATATTACCAGCAATAAAAATTGTTGGCATCAAATAAGCTATTGAGGCTGATATGCTGTAAAACAAACCAAATCAGTATATGCTGAGATAGATAGATAGATAGATAGATGGATAGATAGATAGACAGACAGACAGACAGATAGATAGATAAATAGATAGATAGCTAATATAACCAGCAATAAAAATCTTGTTGGCATTAAATAACCTATTGAGGCTGATATGCCGTAAAAAAACAAATCAGTATATGCTGAGATAGATAGATAGATAGATAGATAGATAATATAACCAGCAATAAAAATCTTGTTGGCATTAAATATCCTATGGAGGTTGACATGCCGTAAAACAAACCAAACCAAACCAGTAATGTAATTGTCTCTCGCATATAGGCCTCTTTGCAAAAGTGATAATGAAAAATGATCTACAAAGTGATTTTGTTAAAAAAGAAGAAAAAAGAATACTTTCTATTCATGTGGATTTATATATTTATATATATATATATATATATATATATATTTCTAAAGGGAGAAACATTTTTTGGCATTAAATAACCCATTGTTGTTGATATACCATAAATCAAAGTAAACCAACCCAAATCTGATGATCTTAAGAGAAGGCCCACCTGAATTTATTATCGGTGGACATAATCTTCGCAATATAAGATACGCGAATGATATTACGCTGATTGCCGAGTCATAAAGAAAACTAACAGAGTTTATAGAAAACATAGTCAAGCAAAGCGAATAGAAAAGATTTTCTACAGGCTGAATTATGACAGATGTATATGTTGGATGTCAGTCGAGGAAAAACCTTTGGCCTAACCTCCGCGGCATCCGTCTGTGAGCGGAAATCGGAACTGGTGATAACATAAATAGGAAATGCATCCGGTGACTAAAATAAACACGGCGCACATCTATCTTGAGGGGGAGGAAATGCGTGCTTGTGTGGGCTAATGTCGAAAGAGGCGTGGCCACACGAAGTTGTCTAGGCGACCTACCGGAAGAAATCGTAGCCTCGTGAAGTTGCGTGTCCAAATGTTATTTCATCGGTTCGATTCTTGGTCTGGCCAGGGGCTGGTTAGAGGTTCTGTGAAGGTTTGTCTACGCGAATACCTGTGTACGCAATCCTAACCTCTGTGAGTCTCCCTCTCTCTACCCATTCGCCGCAACTCGAGCAATAAAAATAATTATACTATTTTTATATATGTGTTCGTCGTTTTATTGGAGCCCAGCATCAATATATTACATATATTTTTTTTTCGCACAAGGTCGGATCTGCGTATTTGGGACGTCAAAATCAAGCAGATACTATGTGTGTCGTGTAGTAACTAAATTTATTGTACACCCCTATCCTGTCGATTCTCCTGTATGCATGTGGGCCATAGTCACTAACAGCCAGACTCCAAAGGCAGATCCAAGTTGCAAAGATGTCACGTGACCCACATGATTAATCTCGACTAACGGGAGATAATCGTGTTCTGTATCCATAAAGAAACATGAAAGAAAAATGAACGAAAGAATTGATTGATTTGTTTATTACGTTTTCTGTAGGTTATTTAAACCAGGAAAGATTTTTCGATTGTAAGAATCTGGGGGAGATAATAATGATTTACTGATACTAGTCCTACTAATTAACCCATAGCTGGGGGGAGAAGAGGTGGATTCATACCTTTCCTACGGATACTTGCCGGTTATTATTTTTATTATACCTCTTAATTCCTTTGGGAATATAGGGCCGCAACAAGACCTCTCCAACAGACGCGGTTTCGGGTGATTCTCTTCAGCTCGGCCCATGTTGTGCTGGCTGCCTTTACCTCTGCGTCAGCACTTCTGCGTCAAGTCTGTTTTGGTCGACCCACTTTTCGTATACCTTGTGGATTCAAGTCAGGGGCTTGCCTGGTGACACTAGAAGCAGACTTGCAGAGTGTGTGGCCAATCCATCCACATTTTCTTTTTATGATGTCAATCTCGATTGGGGTTTGTCTGGTCCTGTCCCAATGGGAAAAGCGTGTCGGGCTTTGTTGATTCGGCACTTGATTTCTTCATCTGTCCCTTCATTTTTACTGACGACGCTTCCCAGGTGGACAAACTTATCGACTTCTTTTTGATTTACTGCTACTAGTTCTACTAATTAACCCATAGCTGGTGACAAAAGACGTGGATTCATACCTTTCCCAACGACCACGAATTGGAACACGACTCACCGATCCCCAATTACGAGCCATTATCGATTACACCATTCTCACATACAAGTTTACAGCACCTGATATTCCCTAATGGTCACTTATCTAAGTACTGACCAGGTTCGACGTTGCTTAACTTCGAGGGCCGATGGTTCAGCGGGATATGGTTGTAAGAGCCTGACATACTGAAACGCTTGATATTTCATACACCGACTGCATGACGAATGAAGAGGTACTCAGAAGAATTCAAATGTTACAACGGACAGAATGTTGTGGAGAGCCATGATCATTCACGTTCTGAATGGACAGGACACATAAAATAAAAAAAAGATATCTACACAAGCAAGTTATGAACAATGAATTGTAGACGAGATGGGATGGTAAAGAGGTAAATGTTTCTTAGAGCTAAAAGGAAAAGGAAGTTGTGGAGAGCCTTAATCGCCCAATTCTAAAGGGATATGGAATGTCTTTTTCTTGTTTATTACGCCACGTCCCTTCAGAACATAAGCGATCAAGCCTCTTCACATCTTCCTTTCCCTTTATGAAACAGGCGTTCGTGGAGAGCCATGAACGCCAATTTTCTGAAGTGATACGACGCAATAAAGAAGAAAAAAGATATATACTCAGATAAATTTTGATCAATGGATCGTAGAGCAGGTGTGAGGAAGGATCGTAACGAGTCAAATATTACTTAGCGCTTCAAAGGACAGGAAGTTGTGGAGAGCTATGATCGTCCAAGTTCTTAAGGAACATGTTACAAAAAAGAAGAAAACGATATATGCTAAGAGAAGTTTTTTTTATCAATGGATGGTACAGCAGAGGCGAAGAGTGATAGTAACAGTCAAATGTGGCTTAGAGTTTAAAATGGGAAGGAAAATGTGGATAGCCAGGATGGCCCAATTTCTGAAGTGGCATGTCACTATAAAGAAGAAAAAAAGATATATAGTCAGTGAAGTTTTGATGAATGGATGGTAGGGCAGGGTGATGGTAAGAATCAAATATTACTTAGAGCTAAAAGGTGCAGGAAGTCGTGGAGAACCATGATCGCCCAACTTCTACAATAAAAAAGGAAACGATATATACTCAGAGAAGCTCTGATCAATGGATGGTGGAGCAAAGGCGAAAAAAGATAGTAACACTCAAATGGGACAGTCTTAAAAGGGATGGATGTTGTGGAGAGCCATGATCACCAAATTATGATAGGTCATGCAACAATAAAGAAGTAAACGATATATACTCAGAGAAGATTTGATCAATAGATAGTAGAGCAAGATTGAAGAGGCTTGGTAAAGAGTCAAACGTAGCTTAGTGTTAAAAAGGGAAGAAAGGTGTGGAGAGCCATGATCGCCAAATTATGATGGGTTATGCAATAATAAAGAAGTAAATGATATATAATCAGAGAAGATTTGAACAATAGAGTGTAGATCAAGGTTGAAGAGGAATGGTAAAGGATCAAACGGAGCTTAGTGTTAAAAATGGAAGGATGTTGTGGAGAGCCATGATCGCCAAATTATGATCGGTCATGCAACAATAAAGAAGTAAACGATATATAATCAGAGAAGATTTGAACAATGCATAGTCGAAGATGGATGCTAAAGAGTCAAACGTTGCTTGGTGTTAAAAATGGAAGGAAGGTGTGGAGAGCCATGATCGCCCAAAATCTGAGGGGTCACGTCACAATAAAGAAGTGTAGTATTAGTGAAACTCGACCATAAGATGGCTTTATATGTAAAGTTTATTCGATTCTGTTTCTCGATCAACTTTACGTCATATTCCTAATTCTCTTTGGGATAAATCTGACACCATTTATTTTTTTTCTTTGCAAGCTCTTTACTCAGCACACCGTTAACCGTGTTTCATTTCTCACCGATGGTGTCTTCCGTTTTACTTTTCCTTAACGTACGGTTGCGCGGATTGCCAGGGGTGAAGATGCGTGTCGTGATAACGAACAAGTCCCCCACCCCGAACGCCTGAAAAATATTTAAAACATAAAAGAAAATGAAAAACATAATCGCAAACGATGTATTAAAATGAAGTCAATTTAAGTTAAATCATAAAATTATCCACTGATTTCGTGGTGAATTAACTTTTTTCCTTTCAAGGTGAGAGACATGAAAATTAGAAAATTAATACTGTTCTTCATATTGCAAGACGCAAATATTCGCTTACACTCAACCATTAATATCTCTAAAAACTATATATATATATATATATATATAGCAGTAGTTTTGAAAGATGATCGCAAAATCACATCAATCCAACCAAATATGTTAGCTCTATCTAAGTACAGCATATATATATATATATATATATATATATATATATATATATATATTATTTATATTTATATATACACACGAAAGGAAATCACTATATTGATACATGTTTCGTCTTTCAATGATAATGTTATTAAGCTTATCAGACAATATGAAAGGAACTTACTTAGAATAAATAGACAAAACTTGTCTATATTATTTAATGAAACATGCATCAATAAAAAATTGCTGCCTAAATACACACAGAGAACATATATATATATATATATATATATATATATATATATATAAATGAAACGAATGCAACAGCAAAATTGTCCAAATCGTTTAACAGCAAAATTGTCCAATTGTTAGATTAAGCGTTTGAACCTTTCTATCTTAGAAATGAGTAAATATATCTTACTGGAATTCTCCGAGATTTTTAAAACAATATTGGACTCTACTTTAAACAATAAGAATGTATTGACCTCGAAGTTGAAATGATGATCTCTTTTGCTGTTGTGATCTGATTCAGTTTTTTTCACTACTCTTCCCTCTTTTTTTTTAAACTTATTCACCGTTTTCTTGATGGTATTTGAGTGGACTTTGAAGATGTTAGTGTGAATGTTTGTACCATTACTGAAGGCTTGAATGATCTTTTTCCTACCACCATTGCTCATTTGGGAAGACAGTGGGGCTGAGACAAGACAACCTGTCCTCTTTCAAGCTCAATAACTCAAAGGCTTTATCAATGATTCTTACAACAAATGGTGTCAAAATGGCTAAACGTCTTATCTGAAAACCTAGAAAAAAGAAACAGTCAGTGTAGTGTAATTTTAAATATTAAACATTTTGTGGGATAGACAATTATGAAACCAATTTTGGCATGTTTCATTTTCTCCCTGGAATCAATCCTTCAAATCTACAAATCAACCATTCGCCCTTGCATGGAGTATTGCTACCATATAGGGTCTGGAGCCCCTTCTGTTTGTCTCAAGGTTCTTGATAAGATCCAGAGACGGATATGCAATGTAATTGGCCCTGATCTGGCATCTCGTCTGCAGTCGCTTTCTCACATACGTGCCGTCGCCTTCCTCTATCTTTTTTACAAATACTTTCATAGTAACTGCTTCTATTAGCTGGTTCCCAGATTTCATGAATTTAAGCGTCCTACTAGGCTGACATCTCGCTCTCATCCTTTCACTGTCGAAACATAAATGTAGCCGTCTTTTCTACTCCAATAGCTTCATGTATCGCACCTCTCACCTGTGGAACTCTCTCCCCTTTTCCTGTTTCCCTGATAGCTATAATCTCCAACTATTCAAATGTAATGTCAATCGACATCTTCAGATACCTTGATCTATCCACTATCCTTCTCTTCATCCTTTCCTCTATCACTCCTATTTGGTCTCACTCCAATTCTCTTTAACCCCTTGTGTGCTAGTGGCTTTCCGCCTTGCTCGGGGTGAAACGCTTTAAAAAAAAAAGGATTAAATATTAATATCACAACCTGAAAATTTGACTGAATTTTTGCTTTAATTTTGAAGTCATTTTTTTCAATAAATTTTTATTTTTTCTCTTTTTCTTCTTTTTTTTTCTTTCCGATTTTTATCCAGCAGTTTTCTTTCCTTTCAACAATTCTGTGACCAAATATTTTTAATCAGTTAGCATTGGCACCCTTTTAAAAGCTTATCCGTATTTCCAGATTATCTCTGTATTTTTTCCGTTCTTATTTAAATATGCTGGTGTAAAGCCTTTTCTTTTACTACAGTTCACACAATATAAAGATCAATAGCCACTATCACTAGAGGTCTATTCAATTATGTGTGTGATATGAACGTAAAACAAAGAAGTAAAAAACACAAGGACATGGCGAATAGATAAGGACACATGGCACAGTGGATAAAGGCGTTAAGTTAGATCCAATGATCAGACCCAAAGAGTTGTGAGTCCAATACCTGGTTAAGGCCGTGGAGAACTTGGAGAGAGGAATTAACAGGAAATAACTGATAACATGGCATGTGGAACCAGAACAGTCTACCCTAGTCAGCGAAATAAAGGGTTCAGTTCGACATTCCAACCACCTGAAGAAGGCCGGAGCGTACAATGGCCGAAATGTTGTAATAAATATGGCGACAAAGATGAGAACAATAGTCCGAATAATGTAAATAGTGTACATAATACCTCATCTCAGAAATATAGACAGATACTGAAGGGCCGAAACGTTGTAATAAATATGGCGACAAAGATGAGGAGAATAGTCCGAATAATGTAAATAATGTACATAATACCTCATCTCAGAAATATAGACAGATACTGAAAGGCCGAAACGTTGTAATAAATATGGCGACAAAGATGAAGAGAATAGTCCGAATAATGTAAATAGTGTAGATAATACCTCATCTCAGAAATAGATACAGATAACAATGGGCCCTATACTTGAAGAGGTTAAAATTGTAATGTCCGAGGAAGCATCAATACGGAAATCTCTTCCACAAATTGATTGATAGATTCGTTTTCTACAGCTTGTTAACTCATGGCAGGTTATTTAAAGCTAGAAAATATTTTTAGACTGAAAGAATTTTTTTTAGATAAAACTGATTTCGTGATACAAGTCGTAACTAATTAACCCATAGCTGGGGGAAGAAGCAGTGGAGTCATACCTTTCCCAAAGGTATTTGCATGCAGTTGAATATAACGAACCCAACTGGAATTGGGACACGGCTCTCTGATTAACAATTCAGAGCCATTATCCATTACACCAGCTGCATATCCTAGCTTACAGGAATTAGTATTCTCCAGAGGTCACCCATCTAGGAACTGACCAGGTTTCGGCGTTGCTTAACTTCGGTGATCGTACGGCAATCGGTGTTTCAACGTAAAATGTCCATCAGGCGAAAGAAAAAAAAGTAAGAGAAGCATATTGTATTTTACTGGAAAGCTGTTCCCCACAAATGGTACTATTGTTGCTGAGGTGAATGTGTAGTTGTAATCGCTTCGTATTACGTCCTTCATCATCACCTTGCTGTCTCAGCCGAGATTGAACTCACCAATACTTTGATTGGTGTAGTTCATAATCTTGTCAAATAGCTGAATTCTTGATAAACGGAAACTATATTGATGACTTATTGGCAAGACATATTGTCTGACTTGCCTAGTGTTTGGATTAAATGCTGCGCCAAAAAGTCATGGCGGTTATTCTTAAAACAGCGCTAGAAAAGATGGCTAGCTCAGAAAATTCCGCGAATTTATATATCGATGACAGTCCTTGGTTTAATTTAATCAATATATATATATATATATATGTTAAGAATTTCATCCCAAGTAAGGCGGGAGTGCCACTAGCACGCAAGAGGTTACAGGCGGTGAGGGTAAGAGGAAAGAGGGGTGTTTGAGAAAAGGATAAAGAGAAGGACGGGGAACAAGATCAAGGACTCTGAAGATGTCGATTGACATTGCATTTGAATATTTGGAGATTATAGCTATCAGGGAAACAGGAAGAGGGGAGGGGGTTACACAGGCGAGAAGTGCAAGGCATGAAGCTATTGGAATAGAAGTTTAATATTGTATAAATGAGTTTAATATTCTATAAATAAGTTTAATGTTCTTTAAATAAATTCAGTATTCTATAAATAAGTTTAATCTTCTATAAATAAGTTTAATATCTATAAATATGTAATAGGAAGGGAATTCCACAGTTGGGAGGTGCGGGACATGAAACTATTGGAGTAGAAAAGACGGCCATATTTAACTGTTTCAACAGTGAAAGGGCGGGACCGAGATGCCAGCCAAGTAGTACGCTTAAATTCACGCAGTCTGGGAACTAGCGAAATTGGCTCGTCGGGGCAGTTACCATGAAAGTATTTGTAGGAAAGACAGGCGACGGCACGTCTGTGAGAGAGCGACTGTAGACGAGATGACTGATCAGGATCAACCGCATTGCATATCCGCGTCTGGATCTTGTCGAGGACCTTAAGGCGAACAGCGGGGGCACTAGGCCATATATGGCAGCAGTGTTCCATGCAATGGCAAATTGTCGATTTATAGATTTGAAGGATGGACTCGAGGGAGAAAAAAATTCTGGCACGAGTTGAGAACCAACTTTCCTTGCAGTAGATGAAGCTATTGATTCAATGTATTTATTCCATCCCAGGTCAGCGGACAGTTTGAGAACAAGCAGTCGTAACAAACGCATGGATTTTCATAATATTTTACACTATGTAAAAGGTACAAGAGCCACGTGACTTCAAATTTTGATGATTATGAAATGAAAATGATTAATAATGCTTTTTCATTAAAAAAAGAAAAGAAAAAAAGAATGTAAGAATTTCTTCAGGCCGTACGGATTGTGCAACAGTTGATAATATGGAAATTAATAGGGGGCTTTCGTTTTGCGCTAATGGCCTTGGGAAAAGGCAGGAATTTATTTCTTCATTCTTCACTCCAGTTAAGGATTAAATAGCAGAGCAAAACTGGACTCTCTCTCACAGACTAGGAAAGGATAACTGCTTTTAAACTAGTTGAGCATAGATAGCAGCAACATTCCTTTATAAACCTACTTCATGTATAGTGCAATCATATAGTATATATATATATATATATATATATATATATATATATATATATATATATATATATATATGTGTGTGTGTGTGAAAAATATATAGAAAATAGGAAAGAACT